CCATGCCGGTAGAGCCTACAGTACGGGCAATCTCAGTGGTGACACGGAGGAGTTGAGTCTCTGGAACAAGGTTGGCAGGTGTGTGGGATACAATGTGCTGGAAGCCAAGGGGAAAGAGTGCATCCCCTGCTAGGATGGCCATATCCACACCATAGATTGTATGGTTGGAGGGTTTTCCTCGGCGTAATGGATCATCATCCATGCAGGGTAGGTCATCGTGTATCAATGAAGCGGCATGAATCTGTCGTCAAAAGACAACAAATGATTAAAAGTTGCTGGACACTACTGCTTCTTAGCTAGAGGCTTCATATTCTTCACTGTGAAACAAGATATTGCATAAAAAAACAAAAAAGCTGAACTACTTCCAATGAGGTGGCCAAATAACTATATTCTGAGCAAGATCTGAAATTTATTAGGCAAAGGATGAGGTAATTCCTACTTCATCACCAAATTTATTTCTCTTTGTTTTTTCTCCCAAATATCAATGAAACTAATATGAAACTTAAAACATTGTGGAAAACTAATAAAAAAAGAAAAAAACTATGGACACCCTATAATATGCCCGTTACACAAGATAATATCTCCATCATCGATATTTTTTGTATAACAATCACTTGGCATACAAAATTACTTCAATGTTACTACATTAAACACTAGCACTAGCATGTAAGACTTAAAATATAGTTTAATTGGACAAAAAAATCTAGTATTAAACAACTAAACATCATTATAAATTAGCAATCCAATCTTTCAACAGCAAAATTCATACGCAACAATAATAATAATAATACAAACCCAAAAGTGGGTTCGTGATAGAAATTCCTTGTGAAGATTCTTAAGCTGGAAATTCTTCTTTAGCTAAATCTCAGAATTGGGAATTAAACTACCACAACTTCCATCAGTTGGCTGCTGTACCTCAATCACAAGAGAGGGGAAAAATCGATTGGCGTTGATCACAATTAAGAATTTAGAATTAATTTACCAATTATCAATAAGAGAGAGAAGAAGAGGCCAAAGAATATGGTAAAAGAAAAGAAGCAGAACCATTTCAAGAGCACAGGCAGTAGGGAATGCAGCGAGGCGGTTACCGCCAAATAGCTCGCAAGCCGCGATGCACATGACGGGTGGCGCTCGCTTGCCGCCCTGAGTAAGTACAGAGTATCGCATGGCCTCGTAGATCTTCTCTGGGTACATCACTGGTATTGCCTCGTCGAGTTTCTGGTTGATCTGGGTTCTCAAAGTGGTCCAATAAGTCTTTAGATCGAACTGGGTCGACTCCAATTCGCTCGAAACTGACAAAGAAGGCGAAGAGGAAGATGAACAACGAATTGATCGTTGAAGATTCAGGGGTTTAAACTGGAAAATTGGGGGTTTCTTGGATAGGTAGAGAGTGGGCGTTGATAATATCGCTGTAGCGAAGAGCAAACTCATTGTTTTACCTGTGAGAGAGTCTTTAGACTCGGGTGTTTTTTGTGTTGTAAAGGTCTGGCGCTATTATATCAAAAAAGACTAGATTGGGTTTTGATTGTGGGAATATGAATCAGACTGACGAGTGGATGAGCCAAAAGATTACTACTTTTTTCTTAAAAGAAGGCAAAATGGCTTTTTTTTTACATAAATGGAGACATGTTAGCTGCATTTAACTGGTATGGATTAAGATTTTTTTTTAAAAAAGAAGAGGGGACCATTTGGGGTAACAGATGGATCAACTCGGAATTAGCCTAAAGATCTCTCATCGGAAGAGGACCTGTTGAGCTTTGCTTCTTTCATTAAATTTCTTTCTAGAGTTATGAAAAAAAAAATATACAAGAAGATTTTTTTAAAAAAAATCTAAACTCTGGTTATGCCCATGGAATGTTTGTCAAAAGTAGAACAAAGTTGCAGGTTTGTAGAGCTGGGGATAATGACAAACATAAAAAGATTAGGAGACGGGAACATTTTGTCTTAGTAATATTTTTTTTATTGGATTTCATCTTTATATAATATATTTTTTAATTTCTCTACTTTTAATAATTATTTATTTTTATTATTATACTTCGACACACATGATATTATTTAATAATAAAATTTATTAGAGATACTCCTGCAATGAAAACTTTTGCTAATAGTTTTTAGGCAATTTTGATTGCCTCATCTTCTCAGGGGGTTTAAGAAAGAACAACTACTTGGAAATAAATATTCAAAAAAGAGTGAAAGAAAATTGATAATGATTAATAATATATTTGTAAATCTTTTACAAAAGCTAAAAATAATAATTTATACATATATATATATATATACAAACTATTTTATTTTGGGAGACAATGTAACACCCAAATTATTATTTTTATTTTTGTATTTAAATTTTAGTTTAATTTTTTATATATTTAATTTATAAGGTTTTAATTCAATTTAATTTAATGAAACTAAAAATAATAATAATGATAAAATAGGGTAAAATTATTTTTTGGATTTAATTGAAATTCATTTCGGAAAAAAGGGGTGAAAATTTAGATTTTGGGGGTGTTTTTGAAAAGAAAATCGAAAATTGGGGGGTCAAACGCAATTTAAAAAAGTTGTGCCACATCAGCAGCTCAGTTAGCAGCCCTGGCCAACCAGAACCAGCCGCGTGGCAAGGAACGTTGACACGGGATGGGCCACGTGGACGATCTGCGTGCGCGCGATCGGACGGCCCAGATCCGTTCCCACGCGCACGGACGGCCCAGATCAAATGTGCGCACAGACGGCCCAGATCTCACGCGTACGGACGGTCCAGATTCAATCAGGTATGGACGGCCTAGATCGTATCGCGATGGACGGCTCAGATTCAATCCCAAATAAATCGGATCGGACGTC